AGCAGGAAAAACCAAAATGGAAGTTCAAAAATAGGGAAAACATGAATTTTTCAAAACAAAGTTCTTTTTTTTTTTTTTTTTTAATGAAATGTGTCTGTGCCATCACTGGATCCTTTTCTCCGATTCGGACGACTCGCGGAGCTCAATGCAAATGGATTAATTCAGATTCTGATTTCCCATCGACACGGCGTCTCTCCTCGTTTTCCCAGATTGACTGGGTGCGAGTCGCAACCTTTAATCAGATAAAGTAACACGGCTCAGGTTAGATTCACAGCTCTATAGTTGCGTCTGAATATGTGGCAGTAAAAGAGTGATTGAAATGCAACACTGAATACGTGAGAGAGGAGGAAGAGGAGGAGGAGGAGGGGGGGGCTGTTAGGGTCTGGCAGAGGCCTGCTGTGGTTACGAGCCCTAAGAGAGAACAGAATGGCTGTGTTCCAGATACCTCCCAAACACACTCGTACAACACACACATTCAATCTGCCTGCACAGAAACCTATATCTGATGAAGAAGAAACACACACACAGATCTATACACACACTCAGTGGAGCAGAGCGTGCACCAATCAGGTAAATGTTTACTACTCCTCCATCTTCAGAGCCACAGGATGAAAAAACGGACCGCGTTTCCTTCTGGTTTCTATCAAATACTTGTCTGTGAATAAATCAAGCGCTTCTTCTAAACATACCGCTGCCGGGAAACGCCCACCCAGCACACATGGGACTGACGCGCTGGTCAGCTGATTTTCTGTTCTGAAACACCCCCACCCTCCCAAAGCTGAGCCTGAACTGACAGGACGGTGCCAGCTTCGGCGATGAGGCCTCTTCGTCACCCTCCCCCAACGATTATTTCCCTGGACCCCATATGGGCACCCTGCCAGTCGAGCCCATCCTCCATCTCCATCACCAGCCCCGATGCTCGCTGCTAGCAGGAGCCTTTCATTCGGGTTATATTTTCCCTGCAAACATCTCTTGACCTCAGCGAAATGTAAATGAAGACAACTTGCTTCATACGAACCAAAAAAAGGCAATAAAGATGGCGTCGTTGATATCGCACATAATGGGGGGGGGGAACAAAATCCTCCAATCAGAAGGAGCGATGATTTTACCACTAACACCTCTTTTCAAGTGAGCAAGGAGAGATGAGTTGGCAGCAGTGCGTAGCAGGGTTAAACAGACACAGAGTCGGTGCTAATTGCTTACTTGTTTTGCCTTCCCTGATACGACTTATTGAGAAAATCATGTTTTTTTGTGCATGAATGGAAGGTGGATTCTGTTCTACCTCTCTTGTATAAAGAAACATTTTTATTTCAGACACCGTTAACTCTGCAGCACACTGCAAAAACACAAGCAGGCATTTTTTGATCTAGTTTCTAGTGCAAGTATCTTAGACTTGAAATAAGACAAAACTAACTTACAGGTAACTTTTCAGTACAGCTTGTTTTAAGTCAATAACTCAGTCAAGTAGTAGTTCCACTGGAAAATTATTTCACTTATAACAAGACATTTTTCCTATCTTAGAAATGAAATAATTAATATTTTTATCAACATTTAGTAATTATTTACTTAAAACAAGCTCCTATATCTTACAGAAATTTTACTTGTAAGTTAGTTTCATCTTATTTCAAGTGCGCTAAGAAATTGTCTCTAGAAATTAGATGGAAAAATCCTTAGTTAAATGTTATAAGAATAATTTCACCAAGAACTGAAAATTTCAAAAAACCTCCAGCATAAACATTTTTCTCAAATGTTTAAACGTTAAAAATCAGAATCGACAAGTCAGTCTCTTAAAAAACAAACAAAAATCTGAACCAGCCAGGAAAAGCTTGATACGAACGCTAAGACCATTATTATTATTATTATTATTATTATATATGTATATTTTGTTTGTAGTTGTGGTTTCTAGGTTTTGTTTTTTTCTCTTTCTGCAGGTTTAGAGGCAGACTTCTTTCCTCTACTCTTATCTCATTTCCTTTAAAATGTTTTCCCAACCTTTCTCTTTCATCTCTGTGTCCATCATCATATCTGAAATAAATCCAAATAAATTCCTAATAAAGTTTTAAATACATAAGAAGTGGTGAAAGCAGTAATCCTCTGCTTGTGGAAGTAAATCTGTTGGGCTTCACTTTGACACTCAGACAATAATTATCACTGCCACACAGGAAACGTAAAAAAAAAAAAAGTTGATTTATGTGAAAATTAAAATAACAACATTCGAAATAAATTAACCAATCGTAAATACAACATAAATATTTTCCTTGAGTGTTTTATTTAAAATTTAAAATCTGAATCGACGAGTCAGGACTTTAAAAAATTGGAAACCTGGATCGACAAGGAAAATCCTGATCAGTGAATCTCCAACATAACAAGACGCGACTTGAACCCGTCTATGAAGTGGATTAAAATGACTAACAAATGTGGGACCTATTAGGAATTTGCAGTGGAAGCTCTGCGTAAGCTTTGGGAGCAGGTTTGTGGTTGGAGCAGCGACTGGTCTGAAGGTTGCTGGGAGCTGTGGCGGCTGCTGAGGTAAGGGGGGAGACCAGCTGCCCGGGAAGCGCCCATTACGAGATGGAGCCAGAGATAAGTGCTCTCACAGGCCCCTTTTCAGAGGCATAATTAGCACACTTCTTATCTGCAGCTCAATTCACATTCACACCCGCCTGCCATGAATGGAACGTGAAAAAGAGGCAGAAATCGGAGGGAACGGTGGAGGCAGAGGGGCAAGACGGAGAGACGGGAGGGGAGGCGGGGAGGGCACGGTGGAAATCGGTTCCCAGACAAGCCGTCAATTTGGGGAGAAGGAGACAGGAGCGAGTTAATACTGCGACTGCCTTTTCTCTTTCTCCATCCTTCCAAGGAGTCTTTGAACTCTTTAACAAAAACAGTGGTTTGTGCATCAAACTGCAATTTGGTAAAACAAAGCTATCTGGGGCTATAATCATCCTAATCAGCAAGAAAAAAAACATAAAGCCTTTGCAGATATTCCGAGATTATTCCGCCCTTGGTGATCTATTTCCCCACCCGTCCTCCTCATCAGGCACAATTGTGGAAATCTCTCCAGCTCTGCCTGCGACACACACATTACCGCTAAGTCCTGGGTGCCGCAGCTTTAATTGCTTTTAATAAAGAGTTAAACTGCTGGTGTGTTTTCTCCTCGTCTGTTTCTCTGTTTCCAGCACACACAGGCTCGTATTGTTCGAGCTTTGTGAGAAGCTGACAGGGGCCCCTCATCATCATCTTACTGCGCCGAGCTAATATAAACAGGTTTGTTTGGTGTTGAAACAACGTCAACCGCTGAACTCCAAACCCACAATAAAGAAGACATGATGATGATGATGACGATGATGATATCTCACTGCTGCCGTGTTCTGGAGTCAAACACGTTTCACCTAAAACTTCTGGCCAACTTCACGTGACACAGTTCAATACCTGAGAGAGTTTTTATCATGGATGTTTTATAAAGAGATGTTTGCAAAGAGTTAAATTGCTACTTGATACATAAAGATTATTTAGTTTGAAACACATCTGCTGTTTGCCAGGCTGCAAACTCGCTAACACACTTTAAAATAAAGTAAAATAAGTATCTGTGTTTCCACTGACCATATAAAATTGTGCAAACTGGAATTATGAAAATAAATTCACGTAAAGTAAACACGCCCATTCTTTAGGGTTTTTCGGCTGTATCAAAATTTGTGTATTTTGCAAAACTGTAATGAAAACACTTATTTCATGTGAGCAACAAACTAGTGCTACTTCTGGTGAAAACGACAAAACAGATGGCAGGAAGTAGAAGGAGGATGACTTATCAGGTAAAAAAATGCATTCACGTTTCTTACTTAATGGAAACACAGGAACTGAAAAATTGTGTTTTTTCAGCATTAGTGGAGTATCGACAAAGTTCTGCACATATCTGTAACACAATGGCAGCTACTGAAATACCTTCTGCTGTAATTGCTCTGAACACGATTAACACCGACAATAAAACGACGACGGTTCCCGTGTGTCTGGGTACCTGGCTCTTGGACGCAGCCACCTTGGCGAACAGGGCCTGGGACACTTTGGCCCGCTTCATCTCCTGCTGGATCTCGTCGTAGATGGTGGAGGTGATGTTCAAGATGCAGTTCTCGGTCTTGCCGTTCCACTCGCTCGGCAGAGGCGACGGTTTTACCTGAACAAGAAACGCAAGATAAACCTGATGCAGACGTCTAAAAATGTTTAAATGTAAACTTTATTTTGTTGTGGTAAATATAAGTATATGGAGCTAAAAGGTCTATTTGTCTAGACTGATGGCACTTTAAACACGCTGACCATTAATATCTTACAAGTAACGCCTCTTGAACTTAGATTTTATGTTATAAACCAACACAAAGTAGTGCATTGGTGATGTTGCTTATTTTCCTCCAGCAATATTGGTTTGCATGTGGCCCAGAAAGTTACATTTTTATCAGATCTTCTTCTATTGCATGTTTACAGCAAACCTTATACTTTATTTTTCATGGTTTTATCTTAATGCATTTCATCGTACCACTGCTCCATAAATATGATTATCTTTTCACTACTTCAAGAGTGTCAAACTCATTTTCATGTTTCAAGATCATGAATTTCCTCAAAGGTTGTAAGCAGAGTGTATCAATAGAACTAACTAATAATTAAATATTCTAACTTTTTTCAATTAGTACTTCTAAATATTAACATTAAGGTAAATTGGTCCTATACACTTTGATAAAATAATGTATAAACACAGTATTATCATAAAATTTATTGAGTTTAGAGGACCACAGAAATGATTATGATGGGCTGGATTTGGCCTGCGAGCCTCGGGTTTGACCCATGCACTACCTGGTGTTACTCTATCACATAAAATCCCAATAAAATACATAAAAGTTTATGTTTGTAGCGTGAAAAATGCAAAGAAAAAAAAACATTTAAGGGACGGGAAACTGTATTCAATTTGATTTGACATGTGTAGAGCAGTGCATGAAGTCCAGCAGATGTAGAGTGAAGGATGCACTGCAAAAACAAAAACTTATCTTTAGTCCAGATTCTAATGCAAATATCACTTGAATAAAAAGAAAACTAACTTACAGGTAACTTTTCAGAAAAAATAGGAGCTTGGTTTAAGTCACTAATTCCTCGACACTGATGAAAAACTACTTTTCTGTTGGACGATTATTTCACTTATAACACGGGAAAAATGTTTTGCTATATTATAAAATATTGTCAGTAGAAATAGTACTTTTATATAAAAACAAAGGACTTAAAGCCAGCTCAAATATCTTGTTGAAAAGTTACTTGTATGTTAGTTTTGTTTTATTTCAAATGTGCTGAGATATTTGCAATCTTGGTAAGATTTTGAGTTTTTGCAATTTGGAGTGTGATATGGTGTCGTGTTGTGAGTTTACATGAGGCTCTGCTGATACGTTGGAACTATTAACACTGTGACAACTGAGTGTGACACCCATCAAACTCTGACATATCTGCGTAATATTTGCTAAATACTTTTGCTCAGAAACTGTTGTGTGTGTGTGTGTGTGTGTGCTTTGACCGTGGGTGTAATTGTGTGTTCACATTTTGCAGTGTTGCAGTTGTCGGGGTGAGTGGGTGACGCTGTGTGCTCACAGGTGAAATTCCCACTGGGATCCGGGGATTCCAGTCCTCCGGCCTCACGCTGTTGCAGTCTTCCCTCCGAGGCTGAAAACATCAAGAGCAAAAAAAAAAAGACACGGCCAAGTTTGTTCAGGCTCACATGTGGAATAATAAAAAGAAATCTGTCTGCACCAACACACACACACATTGGAGTGTAGATTACACCCACACTGAGAGCTGGATTGTTGCTTTGCTTAAAACCACTCTGATGTGTTGTATGAAATGTTAGTATTCTTATGTGGAGCTGGTGATTAAAAAGCAAATGCAAGTCAAGTGAAATCAAATCATTTTTAATCAGCGGCTTGTTGCATCTTGACAAAAATCCTTTGACAAGGTAACAAGCATCCTAATAAAAGCATTACCCAAGAATCATTAGCATATGAATCATTCCATACGAGGCTTTTGAAAGGAGACATGCACAGGGCTGGGTATGAGTGCAAGTGAATGGCATTCAAATAAATTATAATAACACCAACAGCGAACAACTCCTACCAAATAAGAGGCTGGGATCAAAAACATATATATTCAAGTATTTGTCTAGCTGCCTAATACGAGCCTGATGTGTTAACAACAATCCCAGAATCCTGAAATTTGTGGTGGAGATGGAATGTCTGGGCATCCCTGCCTCTTTTATCTTCTTTTACGACAGCTCGACGCGGAGCTCGTCAGTCTGAGCGGGACGATACCGTGTCAAACAAATTGTCGAGGCCTGGACGTGCAGCGACTGGCTGTGGGGGAGCCGAGCCGAGGCGTCAGCACACATGAGAGAAACATACCTCTGCATCTGTTTTTATGAGGCCAATAAAAAGCCTCCTCTGTCTCTGGCTCAATTGCCACCTTGGCTGATTTATGTGCGTGAATTCACACCGCATTGCTCCACCGGAGAGAGGCTGGCAGATGGCCAGGGTGCGCGGAGCGAGCAAGCGAGCGAGCGAGTGAACCTGCGTCTGCGGCCGTGCGCGAGAACTGCCTCGCGCAGGAGCGGCTCTGTATGATGAATGTCTGCGCGCTGAAGTCACGTGGGGGAAGTATACAACCCCTGGAGCGATCGGGCTGATGTGTCAACAGTATTCTGAGAGCTGTTTGAATAAGAATCACAAACCAGATGCTTTGAACTTTTTTTGTTTTTTTTTAATTCATTGTCCTGACTGTTAACACTGCAGATTTACAACCAAGTAGCTGTTTTTGTGTTTTCGTCGAGTTTCTGGTTGGATGGGAATTGGTTTTCTTCAAACTCTGAACTTGTTTTGGTCTTTGTCTTTACTCTTACTGCAGATCTACCTCTGTTTTTACAAACCAGTGCTGGGAGATATAACTTAAAAATAACATCTCCAATTTTTTCACACCAGATTAAATTAAATTTTATTCTTTTTTTTCTCATTTTCTTTTCACTTTCTGAAAATATTTTCAAAAAGTGGCTTTTGTCATCTCTGCTTTGAGCAGGACTTTTTCCATCGTTTAATTGCAAGAAAAATTGTTGTAATATTAGCAGAATAAAAACACAATTTTACCCAAAGCACATCTTAAAATGACAAAAAAAGTCACTTTAATGAGACAAAAAGCTTTTATAGAGTTATCAAAATCTTTGAAATGCATTCAGTTGTTCGCATAATCATTTCAAAGTCCTGCTACTGATAATAATCCGATGCAGTTGTGTTAAAAGATGCAGTATTTCCTTATTTATAGATTATTTATAGACTTAAACCATAATATAGCTTCACAAGATGCTCAACATTCCTCATTTGAATTTTTTGTTATGTTATGTGTTGAAGTTACTGCTTCATTTTCCTAAAATTACCACTTTATTGTTGTAATTTTGTTACTTTTTCCTCATAGTTTAAAAAATAAAATAACTGCCCTGAATTCAAAGTCCAAATCCAAACATGCTTGTCAAGCAAGATGGCAGCTTTGGGCTTGGAGTGCATTGGTGAACAAAAAAATCTGGATTTTTCAAAAACCAAACATTTGATGAATCAATAAAATCGATTTATCGCCCAACCTGTTACAAACTGAACTGACATGCAGAAAAGGCTTTTAAGCTAATTTATATAAAGTAACAACACTTAGCAGGTAATTTTTAGCAGTTTTAGCACAAAGATCAATAACATTATTGAACAGCTGCTCTAAATTCAATAATGAATGTGCAGGGTTACGCACACCTCCAAATTGCCTAGCCTAGTCTTGGCTGTGCTGGTTGCTGGGAGACGGAAGAAATGTGATATGACCTAAAATCAACATCTTGATATGCAGAGCAGTTACGACTGGTATACTTTATATTCATGGTATGACTCCCCTGGATCGGTTTTTAGAAATTATTTTTATCGCCAATTTAATGGACTTTAAAACTACAGCATCTAAAATAAATAAAGTAAATGTGTAATTTTAGTTGTTAAAAGTTATTTAACAAATAAGCACAACTGAACAAGTTTAGAAGCCTTTTTTGGAGGGAAGATTACGCCAACAGGAAATTAATAAGTCGTGAATGATCAGACCTAAATGTTGCTTTGCCTGAGTTATTCACAGACTTTTTTTGTAGGATATGAGTTGATTTCCTCTAATTAGCTGGACAGAATTAGTTCAAAGTTTCAAAGTGTCTTTGTCTCGACTGATAACTCTGCAAAGCTACTTCTGGTTTTAAGAATCTGGTTTCATGTGCGCAGAACACTTTGCAGCAGACTTTGTTTTTTACATTTTCACTTCAATAAATTGTTGTGCAAAGATTCATTATTTGGCTCTGATGCACTGCTCTGAATTCAGACAGCTGCTCAGTGTATTAATGTGAACTGCTTGAGTGCTTCTGCTCTAAAGTCCTACTCTCTTTACTAGCAAGCAGAGCACTTAAAAGGAGAGGGGGCTTGATTTTGGAGATGGAAGGGCCTTTGTCCTTCTTACTTTCCCCCCTTTCACCTGAATAAAAGCCAAATATTCTTCACAGACAGGACAGAGGACGCCTTTGTCTGCCCCCGCCACCTCCCAGACGCAGCTGACCGCGCATCAAATGCTCTTAAGTGGTAGAAAGTTGCCACATACGTCTCTCATAAAGGACACTGACTCTAAGAGAGGGTACAGAGTTGTGGTGTGGCATGCAGGGATTTGGAGAGAGGCACCGACTAAACGATGTTTGATCTTTCACGGAGCTTGTCATCACTGAGGGAAACCAAATTTTTTTCTTAGCAGGCGCTGTCTAATGCACGGCAAAAGGTCAAAATTAGCACAGGTTTTTTTTACTTCCTCCATCATTTGTGCCTGATTTTCACCTGAGTGGTGAGGGCGGGGAAGATGCGGAGCTGATTTGCATGCAGAAAGAAGGTAAAGGAAAGTCAGTCATCTAAAGTTTCAGTCAAGTGTTCGATGTTAAGAAAACATCTCTGGGTGGAAACTGGATGCATACTTGCAAGAAAAACTGAGTGTGCTAATAAGCACAAAAGTAGTCAGTGTTTGTACAATAAAAATGTGCAGCCTAATGGATAACCACTTAATGCACTAGAATTTATGGGGGAACGTTCATCGTACATGTCTGGATTTGGTTTATGATAATAAAGCAAACGGCCCCCCCACAACTCTGCATACCTTTCCTCATCACTGACTGCAAGAAGACGCCTACATTAAACAGTAATAATATATCAAAACAGACAGCTTAAAGGTTTAAATAATGCGATCCTGGGTGGAGCGTGGAGGAGTGGGACGGTGGCAGCAGCGGTAGACCATCTACTCTGAACCTGGACTAAAAGGTCTGCACAGTTTGACAGCCAGGTTGGTTCAATTTAAACTAACACTGTCATTAACTATCAGTTAGATTTAAAAAGATAGGACAGATAGCAGATGCTTAAATGCTGTCTAACTAAACAAAGCAAACAAGAAAAACATTCTGAGTTGGAATAAATACAAAAATTCTCAACTTAATATTACCACTATACTTGTTGCTCCATGACTTTATTAATCACAGTAATTTTCTTATGTTCTGATATAAAATAACTCCTCTCTGACTTGGATTTGGCCGAAGGAGGTTTTACTGTTCATCCGAGCGCTGATAGTTGACGTGAGGAGGCTTACTGCTGCAGCTTCCCTCCAGGCCAACATCTGGCCTTTGTTTTCCATGCTGGCCTTTTTCTGGCAGCTTCCTCTGCTCTCATCTCCACAGCCACAAACATTAGCTGACAAAGCCGCTGAAGCATTAATAGAAAAGGAATCCCAAGGATTTTTCATGTCAGTTCTTTTCTTTTTTTGACCACCTTTTAATGTGTAGATTTAAAAAATTCACTGTGAATTTATGGTTGGACGTTATGGGCGGGCATTTATCGTATCGTTTATCACGTATCATTTACTGTGATAAATTTCTGATCATGATTTATTGTTGTCACAATAAATAATGTTTAAAAATACTTAAAACTGCTCGTATTGTTGGAATTGTAGTCAATATTTTTCTCCACTGTTTGTTCAATTATTAAATGCAGTTACAGTGTGCATATTAACAATAAAAATCTAAATTATTTAAGCTACTTGTGTCGTAAAGAAGCTCATTACTCAGGATGAGTATTTATGTTTGTGGGTCTATAATTGCCATAAAGTTACCTAAAAAGGAGAAGTAAATAGTTCTTATCACCATAATAGTACCACAAAATATCGTGATAAAATTTTAAACTGTATCGCCCAATCCTATTGGGCAGACATAAAATCAACTCTGGAAACAATTTTTTTTCCAATAATCAATAAAATTCCCAACTTTACAGACTTTTCCAGACTCTGAAGGAACGCTATGTTCACGATTTCCTGTCCAGACACAACAGAGCCACCGGAAAATTTTCTGTATTTGGTAAAAAGTCGACTCAAGTAAATGATGAAATAATCAATCATTAATATTTAAAAATTACATCATCAAACGGATTAAAACATAAATTTAAGTGAAAATTTTGGTATTTTAAGGACCAAAATGAAAATAAATCATTTAAGCAACAAAAAAATAACAAAATCAGGCAAAAGAAAATTTTTCCAAATCAGTTTCTTTCAATAAGAAAACGTATGAAACTTTAACAAAAACCGCAGGTGTGCGTTTGTGTCTGGTCCGGTCGTGTCAGTGGGGAAGCCAGCAGGACAGGGTCCGGTACCTGAACGGGCCGGCTGGTCGGCGTGCTGATGAGGGGAGTGGAGCCCATGGCGGATGCGGCCGTGAGGCTCCGCTCCCTCTCCTCCTGATAGATGCGGTCGCGCTCGGCCTCCGGGAGCTGCAGGAAGTTCTGCATGGCGCGCAGGTTGACCAGCAGGGACTGGGACGCCGTCTTGGGGTCTTCTTCCTTACGCAGGATCTCAGACAGCAAGCCCTGAAAAAAAAAAAAACAAAAAAAACACCCACGGTTAAAAATGTATGTTTTTTATTCTTAAGAGAAACAGCAAAGTAGCTTTTTCTGCAGACACCAGTTTTTATTCATATCAAAGAAAACCTCGATTCCTTTTCAGCTTCGTCTGTCCATTTACGCACCACAAAAACACTTCACTGGAACTCGTGTGTATAATACGTGTAATTTTGCACATTTTTTTTTTTCAGGTTGCCTTTGATAAGAGCTCAGCTATTCGCCTTGTTCAGCGGGCAATCAGTGTATCCTCTGTTTACTTTTCAATAGTGCTCAATTCCATCATTATGAGACAGCGATGACTCCATTATCGGTGATGTGTGATTGGGCCTTTTCATCAGCTCCTGGCCACACACTGTGCAAACCGACGCTGTGCTTCTCTCACCATCAATAGATGTGATTTGGTAATAAAACAAGGTGATGGGGAAACATACTCGTTTTTTTTGTTTGTTTTTTTGAGTATTTAAGTCCTCTTGGATTAACCAGAGATGTCTAACAGCTAAATAAAAAAAAAAAAACAGACGAGACACGCCTCATGTTTTCAATATTTCACTGTGAATGCATTGATCCAGACTAGCCAATCGGTTTCCTTTCTGTTACAAAACCCCCTCTAGTCTGATGCAACACAACCTACAACCACCTCCTTTTTCTCTGCATTTTTTTTTTCGGGAAACCTAATAAATTATCCTCTACAGGCGCACTATCTGGCTAATTCCTCATATCAGACACAGATAAGACTGAGAGGAAGCTTCCTGAACTGTACAAAAACACCACTGTCTTTCTCTCCCATGTGACTTTTTAAAGTGAGCGCTGTATGTTCAGCTTGATCGTTATCAGTCGACTTAATGCTCCCCGTTATATGCAACACCTTCAAAGCAAAGACAAATTGAAGGAATAGTTTGGATGATGTATTATCAACAGCAGATTATTGCCAGGAGGAGAAACTGAGCACAAGTCAAGGCAAGACGGATGATCATTTTCTAAAGTTGCCATTAAATTAAGTCACTAATGTCAGGAGACTGAAGTTGTTAAACTGTGTTTATGAAGTTGAAATCATTTGATGGCTGTTTCTTTGTTTTAGAGGTTTTACTCCAGATAACAATTAATCGATTACTAAAATATTTAAATAACTGATCAAACACGATTAATCGGATTAATCATTTCAGCCCTAACGTAACCAACAGGACGCATAGAAAACAGACCAACTAGCGTGATAATCTAGTAAATTCTGGGTTTTGTCCTCACCTGGGTTCTGTTGAAGGCCACCCGGGCAAAGACGGCCTGCGAGATGCCGGCCCGCTTCAGCTCGTCCCTCACCCACTGGTAGATCTCAGAGGAAACCTCCGTGTTGGAGCCCACCTGAGGCTCCAGCGGCTTGGTGTGGGAGTTGCGGTTCACAGGCGGGTGGTTGAGGTACTGCTGCGACAACGACTGCTGCGCCAGCAGCCGGTTCACCGCGTACTGCTGGTTGAGGATCTGCGCCATCACGAGCTGCTGGTTCACCAGCTGGGGGCTGATGGGCGTGGACACCAACCCCGGATGGTGCAGGCCGGGGAGCTGCGGCTGCCGGCCGCCCGTTTGGCCGCTGTGCGGGGGAGCGTGCGGCAGCGGCGGCACCGGTGAAGACGGCGTCTGCTCTGCGGTGCTGCCAGGGATGGGCTGCTGCTGGGAGAAACCCAGGTGGTTGTGGTTGTGGTTGGAGCCGGGAGGGGACAGATCCGACAGGCTGTCCATCTCCGCTGGAGAAAGAAGGGAAATAGAAAACACAAGCCAAACTCATCATTACGGCTGCAACTAAGGACTTTTTAGTAATCGATTATTCTGGCGACTGATTGATTCATCGGATAAAAACCCAAAACGCCATTCCTGAAATGTAAATATGAACAATGTTCTTATTTATATTTCACAGTGGTTAATCACAGCGCCAGTGTGTGATTAATTTGATTAAACCTCTTGATCAACTGAGAGCACTACATACCTAGCATAACTTTTTAATGTTTTCATCAATATTAAGAAATTACTGATTTAAAACAAGCTGAAAAGTTTACTTGTCACTTTTGTCTTATTCTGTGTAGGGTTGCAAATAACTATTATATCAGTGTATTATTATTCTATCAATTATGATTATTCTATCAAAGAGGCACATTCTGTTGATTTAACCATTAAATATTTTTTTAAATATTAGAAATACATTGAAAGATGCAAATGGACAATTTAATTCCTTTTTCAAGTAAGAAAATAAAAATTTTCTTGCCTAAAATGCAGAAACATTTCATTCATTTGGTGCAAAAGAGCTAAAATAATATTTCTAACATCAACATGTAGAAGCTCAGCCCTTCTTCTTGACTTATCAATGCAGTGCAGATCTATTCTTTAGATTAACCAGTTAATAACTGGACAGGGAGATTTTTTAGGAGGTATTTTATCTTTACAGAATTTGAACCAGACTACTTGAGGAGTTTTGTTTAGAACATTTTTACAAAAGTTTGTTTTTTTTAATAATTGCAAAACGTATAGATTTTTGCTTTGAACTAGATGTTCTTTCAGCAACAGGCCTTTTTTTTTTTTTTACAGTGTATGTCCCATTTAAAAATTAATCGATTACTAAATTAGTTGACGATTATTTCAACAATCAATTCAAAATGATTCATATAACTATTTTGTGTTTTTATTTGTAAGCATGACAGGAAAAAAAGCTTAAACTAGTTTTATGTTTTTTAAGAGAATCAGCAGGTCAAACCTTTAAAAAAAAAAAAGAAGCAAAAATCAGTTTCAGTCTGTAAAATCCGGATTATTACATCTCTAACTATAACCATAGATTCTAATCCGGGGAAACAAACAGACCTGGTCTGCACCGGATCAAATTATTGCCTGGGGTCAAAGCTCGGCTGATCGTTAACATTCTTGGTTTTGCTCTTTATGGGGAGGCAATACAATCAGGAGCTTTGAAAAGAAAACTGTTAAAACCAAAATACCAACAAAAAGATACTGTAACTCTGTGTTTTTTTGTTTTTTTCCCCCTTCAAAGGGCTCTTCACCGACGATATGCCTGAGCTGGTTATCCGGCTTAAAAAGAAAAAGATGCAACCGCTGATAAAAGAGCCTCATTGTGTTTGACCTGTGTGTCTCATGCCTTCAGAATTAAGTTCAGAATGTGTTTGGCCTCGTGAAAAAAAAAAAAAAAAAAAAGAGAGATCGCACACAGACAGTGGAGCATGTGTGTGTCTGACTGGGATTTATGTTGTAAATGCATGCTTAATTCTAAAATAAGGAACACACGCTGGCCAATGTGACAATTTTAGGGATGGATGGTGTAAATATAAATGTGAAAAACAGAGACAGAATAAACATCAGTGCATGTAGAAACCACCTCGTTTTAATGATCTTCACCTTCCACCGTTTAAGTGAACCGAAATTAAATGTTTTCGTTGTCATTTGAAGGCATTTTCGGAGATTTCTGTGGTGTCTCTTCTTTCGGGAATCTTTAAGTCCATAATGGCTGCTGGGGAATATTTTAAGACTTGTTTAAATGATGTGCTAAGAGGATGAAAACAATGATTTAACATTCAAAGTGCTACCCACAGAGAAGTGAATAAGCAGCTGGAATAGTTTTTAGGTTGCAGAGGATTTTTTTTTCTCATCTTCTGTGCCGAACGAGTGAGGGGGAAGCATTCAAGGATTCATCCGCGCAGCGATGCTAACTCCTCGGAAGTGGGCTGCGGCCTCCACATCGTATGGGATTAATGTTAAAGATTTGGATCCCCCCCCCCCCCCC